CTCAGCATTTTGCCGTAATATTTTAGACTTAGCGGAAATTCGCTAATATTGTCTAGTAAAATCTGCAAGACTTAACCTCAGCTTCCAACCAACAACAAACTTGCAAAGTATCCTCAGGCGCATGCACATTTATTTCAAGTAAGCCTCTAGTTCTGACTTAATCAACAAGTTTCAGATACAAATTTGGCAAATTATTGTCTGAAATCAAGACTATTTTTTTAAATGAAGTAAAACTATAGACACACAAAATTTGACGAAACTGCAATCGAGAAAACTTTGGCAAATATTATATCGACTTTACTGAATGACGATATGCTAGCAAAACAAACGCATTGGTTGTTAATCAATTAAAACTGAAAATTTCTTTACCGAAATATTCAGAAGTACTGCAATAAATAGGATCCAAATGCATGCAATACTTTTAAAAGTTGAGTTATATGAAAGATTTTTTTATGTTTCATTTATTTTTTGATATGTTTGGTAGATGTTTCAGTCAAAACGTTTATTTATATAGTTTTTCGAAATTTTTGTGTGTTTTATTAAGTCTTTGCACAAAGGAAGCAACCTTATAATATTTAATCTTTACACTTTGGCAGAAATTGTTCTCTTTAATGAATACTATTCTGTGAAAATAAAGTATGATGTTTTCCAGCTGTTTTTTTTTTTTTTTTTTTCTAATTTAAAGTAATATTTGTAACTCTACAAGATTCTTGCCAGAATATACGTGATTATTGCATTGGAAATATGTCCGTAATTTGCCTTTTAAGTTGCACGTATATATTGAATAGTATACGAGTTATTGTTAGTCAACGATAACTATGTTAATCTTTGCAAAAAGGCACGTGGCTGCATTCAGAAACCATAGTTTTTTATCTGTTAGTTGGCCCAACAGTTAGCCTTTTCTTTTATATCGAAACGGAAAGAATGGCGGAAGATACCAAGAAATTCTCAGTCATGAACATGCGTATAAAGTAAACTAGTTTAATGTCAAATTTAATAAAAGATAATCAATAAACATCAGGTTAAATTACATGCATTAGTTTTTCTGTTTCCAGTTTAATCACAAGCTCATTATTTGCCATAATCAGTGTAGCAAATATTTAATGTTGCCACATATTTTGACCTAAAGTGTTTTAAAACTTCCGTGTTAAATTTTAAAACTCAAATATCGCAAAATTGTTTTATTTTTTAAGAATTATTTTGCGTTTTTTTTTGAAAATTTATTAAATACGGATTAATTAACTGCCGTTAAGTGTTCATCAGAAAATTTTGTTATAAGATCATAGCTGATGGAAAGTAAGTATACTTTTGCAATTAAATTTTCTTATATTCAACAGTCTTTTACCATCATCAGAATATGCTTATTAACTTCGACTCTGTATACTATACATACACACACACACACATATATATATTTGCCTCTTTAAATAGTCTCAACATTAGAAAACTCAATACATATTTAAAATGAAATAAATGACAATTTCTTCTCTGAAGGAGGCTCTTATTATATTTTTGATATTTGACTTATAAACGCTTACTTATTTTAAAAACCATATTTAATTCACATATTATTTTCTGTGGTTAGATTAAGTTACTTTTATATACCTAAAGCTCTCAAAATGAACGTATTAATCTAAGTAACAAAGCGTTTCAAATTAAAATCATGTAATTCATTCAACGTGCTATTTCAGGGTATGCTAAGCTTTTATATATGTAAAACAGAATATTTATTACTCAGATTACTTGGTAATTAGACGTTATTCTCTTTTTCCTGCTATAAGAAATAAAATGAATTCAGCATTTTCCGAATCTATAGAACATGGCAAATTTCGGATTTTTAAGCCAATTTTACTAGTTAGAAACTGAGGGAAAAATATTTTAGAAATCAACACTGAACAAAATTGTTTCCATGGTTAATTAAATAACTTTGTCAATACACAAGGAACAATAATATAATTTTTTTAAAAACATTTAAAACGTTATTTGATTCAAAATTTTTTAAGATAATTATTTGTTGATTGGTTTGGAAACAGTGCTTTATGAAAACAAATCTAAGCCAGTGTTACATGCAGAATAAAAGACAGAAATATTAATTTAAAAAGCCGTTAATAGATCTAAATCTTTCATTGATACTTTGCATTTTATTCATTCATTATTAAACATGCAACAGGACATTTAATATTCGATCACTGTTTTCTAAAACAAATCTGTGATTTTCATGTAATATTAGAATTCTTAGCTGTTCGTATATCAAAATAAAATAATTATTGTAGAGTCACATGTATTACATCTAAATAACTTTGCATTATTGTACACATACAGACAAAAAAAAACTATGAAAAATAAACTTCCTATGATGGAGTTTCACAAATCTTCCTAATATTGACATTTTCTTAGCATCCAAAATCTGATTAACAAGTCATTGATCAATAAAACTTACAGTTTCATGTAGAAAAACATCTCTTGTATGAAAAATGGTACATAACATTTTGTATTAATAGTATTCATGAAACAAATGCATTTTGAAATTTTATTTGCATGATTTCGACAACGAAATTGAAACAACTAGTTTTAGTGCGCTATCTTTTGTAAACATGTTGTAGGACGTTCAATAAAACATCATAATCTAATAAAGACACATGCATATGGAATACACGTGAGAAAGGAATAAATGCATGTGCTCAGCCTCTTTTATATTCCTGAGTCTCTTAATTCTATTGTATTTAATTGATCCTGTATCTTCTGTCTTCAAACACCAGAAAAGTTTATAATTTGGAGACCACCTGTATTCCCTTATCTTTTTTTTCTCTAGTGAAATATACATCCTTGTTGAATAGTTCACATGGTGTGGAGTGTTGTTGATGTTGAATATGCAAAACATTTGAGGGTAACTCAATTGTTTTAAAATTTTCAGGATAAGGAAGTTTTCATTTTTGCTTCCATGGTCATAACACAATTTGTTCCCGTTGTTGGAACGGCTATTGGTGCTTAACTTCCTAATATTTGACACCAGTTTCATGATGTAAAATATTTGAACCATTTAGCTATATCTGACCCTTCCAAAACGTCGGGTAGTCCCTCAGAATGGTATGAACAATTATGTGAGGTAAGAACATACATCGATATCAGTATCCCACAAACAGTACTGATCCACGTCGGTGCGCCATTTTAAACACACAATAAAAGGGATAGCAAGTTTTTAACAAGCTTATCACTGGAGCTATTTCTTTCTTGGATCTAAATATGGAGGTAAACAATCTTCCTCTTTTCACTCACCCAAATGTGCGAAAAGCAGTTAAGTTGGATTCATTGGAGAAAATGCATATTTCGCGTTGCTAGAAGTTCAAAGATTTCTCTGTTGAAGCAACTAAAACACGCTTCTGAAACTGACACTGGCGATAGAATTCGATTAAAACAGTCTAATTGTAAATGTTTATTCTGAGAAGCCCTCAACGAACAGCTTTGCAGCAAGAAAGGGAATTGAGATCCGTATTCAATTCTAAGACTAGTTTTACAGATGTAATCTTTTTCTTTCACAATAACACGAAATCCGTATTATTTTCGGATGCTTTTAACAGACTATTTACTCTACACGAACAAATACTTCTGCTGGATGTTATTGATTCATTTTGATATTTTGCTTATATGACTTCGAATATTGTTACTCCTAATATACTATAAATTTAAAGACTTGTTATTCTTGTTCGTAGATTCGTATGCTAGACGCGCTGTAGTAGTTTATATTACCAGTTAAATTCTGATATATCAGTCATTATGTTGTCTGACTTGCGCTATTGAACTAGGTATATGTTACTGTACTGCTGATGTGAATAGTATATTGCAAAGTAAACCGCAAAGAGATTCTTGGACAAAAAGTGAAACTATACAATCTATAATGTATTTCTCCCGCCTTCTTAGCATGCCTTCATGGTATAATAAATAGCCAGCACGCTCGGCGTGTATTCGAGAGGTCCGTGAGGGCATTCCTCATTTTTCATACCTCCTGCTTTGAAATAACTTAATGACTTGCGTAATAACAGTTAATAACAGTGGCGCCCGAACTTAAAAGGGTGTTTAATGATGATTCTTCACCACCAGCATTTGGCGACTGGGTATCTTAATCCCCAGTCGCTCTTTAAAAGGGGGAGTATATAAGGTATTTCTCCCGCCTTCTTAACATGCCTTGGTGGTGTAATGGTCAGTGCACTAGGCGCGTATTTGAGAGGTCCGAGGTTCGAATCCCGGCAAGGTCATTGCACATTTTTCCTGTCTCCCTGCTTTGAAAAATCCTAAGGACTCTACAAACCAAAGAAGCAAATAACGTCAGGTAATTCCAAAAGCAAAGTTGCAGAACTCACAACAGTCATGATAATAGTTTTTTCTTAATAGTAAAATACTAGATGGAACACTATAAGACTGTGAAATATGTATACAGAACCATGCAAAACTATAAACAAAAGCAGGTAATTAAGAAATCCCCAAAGAATGGACATAACCGCATGGTTGGACATGATCGCATAGACTAAATGTTCCGTGAGCTGCTGGTGCATCGCTAACGTCTAGCACGTGAGGGGACGCCAGGGGACATCGGTCGGCACCTAGTCGTTGGTCGGCACCAGGCTCTCGTAGAATAAGAGATGGATTTGGGGAAAAATCTTCTATTCATCAGCTAGGTCCAGCAATACATCAATTACCATTGGTTCTACGGAGGTATTGGTCTAGTTTCTTCATGTCATGTACCGCTGATTCTATTTTATACTCTACTTTTGTTTATCGAATGCAATATATGCTGGTTTTTAGGCAGAGCCTTATATCAGCGTGAATCATTAGCGTATAATCACAGTTTCTTAAGTTTCGTTACTTCAATTTCATTGCTCATATCTTCAGCTTCATTGTACATGATAAAATACATTATTATTGGCATTATTAATATTATTATTATTATTATTGTCAACAGAATCCATTTTCAAGTTATGAAAGGAACGTGATTCGCCTCGAAAATGGCAGAAGATTCTGAAAAGGGAGAGGTAAGTTACATGTATGCGTATTTATTTTGTCTTTAAAGACGTTAAACATTTAGTATGAAATTTTGTTTTTATATTCCCATTTCCATGCTATTGCTTATTCTCATCTGGACTATGAAATGCATAGCTGTTGAAAGTTAAAAACCTCAAACTCAAAGCATAAGTCAAAAATTAAACACACATCATAGAAAAAAAAATGATCCATGACGTATACAAAACAACAACTGAACATGGCATTTATATGAAAATTCAAATACAGCATAAAAACCTGATACCAATATAAAAAAAATGAGCGAAATGAAATCAGAGAAAATGAAAATCATCTTTCTCTAGATCTACAGCGAAGAAAAAAGGAAGTCTTTCAGATTTCTCATAATAGCAATTGTCTAATTTTTACAAATAATTCAAAATTAAGCGCATCCTATAAGTTCTTTTATTTTAGTTACTCAGCTCACTAGAATTTTTTATAAACATTCTGAGATTTACAAATTTTATCTTAAAGCATGCTTCTTTTTATGTTATATATTGATTTTTTTAAACTTCCAGGAATTAAAACTTAGTTCAAGATGCGAATCGTTGCAATAATTCAGCATTAATAATGAAAGAATTTACGTGCATCTCACACTCTGTTCCAGATCCCTGGAATTACCGTAATTAAGAAACCGTCAACTTTTTATTCCCTGATGCATATAAAAATTATATTTACGTAATGTACACCATGGCCTACAAAATAAATCCAACTTTCCGCTTATTTATTACTATTCTTTTGCCTGAAATTACTTTAATTTATTTCAACAATTATGCCTTCACAAATCACCAAACTCTTTAATACAAGAGGCATATTCTCTTGATATTCTACATCTCTTTTACAATTAATCATATCTTAACTCTTTATTTCACGTTCCAGGGTTAAAAGATGGGTATATTTTGGAAACTAATATTGCATGCATTCAATACGCGAACTTGATAAATATGCAACAATAATTCCTTCTTCAAAAATATATTTGTGTGAAGAATATCTTTCAGCCATACAAAAATATTAAATAATTATCTTTTGAACACTTAAACTGTAGAGACATTAGGTTGTTTTTAAAGCAGGAGTGATGAAAAATAAGCAACGCCCTCGTGGGAATTGAACCACGGACCTCTGGAATATGCGTCCAGCGTGCAGACCACTACACTACGAAGGCATGCTAAGAAAGCGGGAGAAATACATTATAAAATATGCTAATAGTTGTGCCCGCTGAGTTTTCAGTGATTGCAACATTGCATTAGTAATTTATCGGGATTCGAACCCCGGATCTTCCACTTGTTAGTTGAAACGCTAACCACATGCATCAAAAAAGCATGCATAGAAGAATGCAGTGATTTCTTATATTCTTCCTTATTTAAAAGGCGACATGGTTAGAGGCTCATTTGGCCAAATCTACGTGTTGATTACTCACCATACGTTTAGTTTGGGAGAAAATGGAACAAAAATTTTAATACTTTCGGACGCCAAGAAATGTAGAATTACATCTTGTTCTGCCATGTTTATGATCTTATATATTTATGTATCTGCCAGGGTTCGAACCAGAGATCTTCCACTTTTCAGCTCTTTTTGTTAAATACTTAGTTACGAGATTATGCGTAGCGAAATGCGATAATTGCTTGAAGCAGAGGGCAAGTTTGTTCATAATGCTTTTGAGCTTCTTGAGATAGGCCGGCTGCTTCAAGAAACACCATGCAGAATCAGCGAAACACTGAAAAAGAGAGTGTGCCAGTATTTATCCTTTTAGGATACAGTAAAAAGTGCTGAGCAAGAAGGAAAGGAAGATGAACGAGAAAAGAGAGAAAATCCTCCACAAGCAGAGCTAAAAGAGCCAGCAAATGCGAAAGATGAACCAAAAGAAACGAAAAAAGATAATGAAGAATCTGAACAGAAACAGATAGAACATACCCAACCAAGTTGTCCCAAAGTGAGCAATTTTTCTATTGTAAATAATACATAATACAAATCATCTTGCAGCTACAGATCAAACACACTCAAAATAAGCTATAAGTATTTATCACTAGGATTATAAAATGTATTTTCTGTACAATTTTTGTATATGTATATTAAAATATATGATGTTAAGTTTTAATGAAGCAGAAATTTAGTTGCATAGGATTAAAGTAAGAAATTTGGGTACTTAGGTATTATCGTAAAGACCTTAGAAAAAGCCGCCAAGCATTTAGAAGTTGCCAAACGCGCATAAGAGTTGTTTAGGTAACCATATCCATTGTAAGTTTCAAATTCACCAAATTACCTTTTCCTTCTGTAAAAAACAGCAAATCCTCGCCAAGGTGGTTCTGCTAATGCGTAAGTATCGAAATTTGCTCAAACGGGAAACTGAAAGCATTTTGTTTTTGAAAGAGTATAGAAAGAATGTAGATTTTTCTGTTAAATTATGTAAATACTAGTATATGCAAAAGAGAAACAAATTGTCAAGTTTTGTAAGTTCGCTTAATATGCCAGTATTTAAGTACAATATTATTACAGCTTGAAAAACAGAAAACCTATTTTCATTTTTATTATATGCATCATAATTTCAATTATGACAAGCAAATCCAAAAATCCATTTTCAAATCCATAGACAAAATATGGACCTCCAACTGCACTCAAGTGACCAATCATGCTATTTATCTCCTTATATTCGTACGCAATACATACTCGTTTCATTACGTGCTTCAACTTAAATGAATATCATATTGAAGGAAATGAGAGACGATAATTGCAGCTTTTAGTGCCAATGTTGTCACGCCCCCCATTAGTCGAGTATCACAAAATCTTACGAAATTGAAATCGTTACGTATGTAAGTGAAAATTCTGAAATTTCATGGCATGGTGTCATTTCTATAGTTTAGATTAGTATATGCCAGGTACTCATCAAAATCTGTATTTTCATTTTGCCCAATAATTAAAGATTTAGTTAAACTTTTTTATCGACTTTGTAATCTATAAATCAATAGTATTTATCTCCAAAAACTGCTAATGAATTAGTATATAAGTAAATAAAATGAAGAAAAAATCTTATGAGGAAAATAAGAATCTATGAAATCTCATGACTCATTGATTATTCACGCAATTAGCGTGACGTACATTTTTAATATTTTTCTGATTCCATGCATTTATCATCCGTAGATTATAGCCAGTGGAATATAATGTGTATAATTGTGGGCTTATGAAGTACATTAATGTTAATTATTGTATAATATCTAATGAGGATGAGTGGAAATTCTGGCTTGCCTACTACAGAGAGAATTAAGTCTGGCTGCAGAATCGGAGTCGAGTTAAATTTTGTAAATTCTTATGGGATTACATTTTATGTTATAGACCTGCACAAAAATTTCAACTTGAAAAAACACAGTTTTGTGCACAATTAAGCTTGAAATCACCAAACATTATATTTCGAAAAATAATTAACTTATTTTGATGAAATTGTGTTTACAGATGCGCAATATTATGAGACAGCCATTAAATAACACAAAATCAATAGGATGTAAATATTTGTGGATATGGAAATGAAATTAAAATCGGACAGACACTAAACCTCATTTTCCCAGAATGGTCTTGCTCAGAAAGAGAGTAATCACCCACCTCAGCTTTATATGTCTCATAAGGGGCTGTTATTGTCTAAATGATGTTGTTGATCATAAATTGTGGCGACAAATCCCTTTCGACTAAAAGCGAAAATTTTAATGTTGAACAGTCCTGGAAGGATACGTGCAATGGTTCATTCTAAATCACAGAAAATATGCTGTGTCGGCTTTAGGTACAGCACGCTTGTTTGTTAGCCATACCAAACGCAGAATACCTTTTTCTTCCAAAAATCGTCTATCAATTGAATTCTTTATTGCATCGAATTATCATCTAGAAAAAAAATTATCTCCGACAGTATCTCAGAAAGCCCTTCCGTAAAGTTGAAAAACCTAATGCTGTGAAGTGCCAGTCTTGCATGGAAGACATGGGATGGTGTGTAGTCGCTCAGCATGTCCTCTCCCACACAATGATTCCATTTCAAGTGACCGATTTCCTTTACCCTGAACAGATGATAGTCGGGATGCAGGGTTTCTCCAGGTGAAATGACTTTATACTTAATCACGAAGGAAGAAGACAGGATGTTGTGTCTAGTAACGGTGTGTCTGGCTCCAGATCATAAGATGAGCTGTGCTTTGTGACGAAGAGAATATATCCAGCTGGCCATGGGGCAAAATGAGAAATTTCTTTACAAAGAGTCAAAGAATCATTTTTCATAGACGGAGCAGTGAAATCCTGAGAGCTACTTAGCCGACATTCTTCTAGGAAATAACGCATTTAAATTCCCACATTGATTTTCTGTAGGTTTCAGTGCTTTTGGACAGCATTGAATAGATCTCCCAGTTCACGTATCTGTAGTTTAAAACTAGTGCATAATTTGGATGCCACCATTTGGAACACTATTAATCATCGAGTGACCTCCGATTGAGACTGGTTAGCTTCAAGTCGAAGACAGACGTTTTTCATCACAATCCTCAAGCCCACCATTTGTATTCATCTTAACCCATCGCTTAAAAGAATCTGAGAACTAATTTTAACTGAGCGGATTTATTCTTGCGTCGTTTTCTTTTTTCTCTCTCCTTTTCTTTTTCTTGGCAAGAAATGCATATCTGTGGATGAGTGTCACAGAGTCAGAAACTAGTCATTTAAACGTTTTTTAAAACGATGTCATGCACTTTCAGTTAATGACGTTCCTCTCGGAGGAAATGCAAAATTCTTACAAGAAAGGAGGCCATTGTCGCGTAAGGGAAATCATCCACCCTAATAAAGATGCCCAGTGATCAAATGGAGAAATATGTTGAAGCCGTTTAAATTTTGAAAATTGTATCAGAACCACAGGAAGGAGAAAATATGAGTTAACAGCTCAAAGGTCAATTTCAGAAGAGGCGGATGGCGTAAAGTTTAGATGTAAAATCCATCTCTAAAATTGTGTAACCTAAATATTTAGGAAAGTTAGCAGGATTCGTGGTTATTGCACTATTGAAGAAATTTTATTGAATTTTCTGCAAATACCGACTTACAGATCGCTATGAAAAAATAACATTGTTAGATATAAACCATGTGATGTTGCAGATGTTTCATAAAATTTTAGTTGCAGGCATATAAAACGTTTGAAAACGTCATGAGAAACAGTACACAATACACCTATGGACATATTTTTAATTTCCTCTAATTATGTCTAAACGTAAACCTTTAAAATGTTATTAGCAGCTATTTCGAACTATTTCAAAATACGTACCAGTATATTTATCTATATATCTATCTATTTATGTATATAATTTTTAAAATATATGCAACTTCGTTTACGAGAATAACTGAAGATGTTCTTGATTCCTTAGTTTAAAGATACATTGAAATGTTTCTGTTTTAAGAATTTCCAATGAGTTTTAAAACAAGTTCCAGACGCTTCTACAATATTGTATGTGTCAATGCATTTGTTCGGTTTGGAAAGATCTCCGATTAACGCTTTAAAACTGCTGCTTTAAACGAGAACAAAACAATATTCTCGCTTCTAAGTGAATGGATCCTCTGCTAAATGAACCCGTTCATTAAACGACTTTTGTTTTTTTAATGTATTCACATCAATAGCTAGAGCCTTTTAAATTTTTACATTCCTGATTTGTATGGATCACGTTGTAAACACATATTTGCATTCTTCAAGAATAAAAGAGATGGATGAGGGAAGTTAACATTTTGGCATTAAAGTACGTTAGAAAACTTGCACCGAAAATGTGTATCGTATTCAGACATGACCATGTGATGGTAAATTTCATCAAATGGTGCCGACACTTCAAAGATTTTGTTTCAGGAATGCAATAAACTAAAATTACATCTTTTAAATACCACTGAAAATTTTAAAATGTCTTGACTTCGTTTAGGAGCGAAAGGCCGAATAGAAATCCCAGTTTTAATTTTTTTGTGAGCTTTAATGTGATTTCTACCTCAAATCCAAACATCTAATAGATTTGTAAATGGTTTGGGATAAAATGCTTTAATGATAGCGTAATTTCCTTCAATAGCAATTTTACGATAAAAAACCATTTCTCAGATATAGTGGGTGATGCTTTACTTTTTACTATTTAATTTGTTAATTAGTACTTCAATTTGTTTAATAGATTTGTTTCATATAGTATAGAATATCTATCAGTTTTATTGATATTATTTTGCTGCGAAACAATGTGATCGAAATTTTTTAACTAAGTAAGTTTACTAAGTTTAAATATTGCTACTATACTACTTTATTCCTTACTCATAATTCACAAACATCTGTAATAGGAACCGAAGAAGGCTAAATCGATGTCCAAAGAAGCGCAGCGCCTGCGAAATGTCTTTGCTCGTCCTTCTGGTGCTGGTAAGCAAACTACCTGAATTTTTACATAGCAAGGTATTAAACATATGAACTTCAAGAAATACCTATTTAGAAATCAGAGCAAAATGTTTATAAACGTTTTGTCCACTTTTGTCTTTTGCGAATCATTTATTCTGTTATTAATTTTAGAGCACTAATAACACTTTGAATTCAAAAGCACGTTTAAATTTCTTTGAAAGTTACACCAGTTTCCTCACACTTACGATGCAGTTAATTTTAAAGCTGTTTCAAAATACTCCAACGTAATCAATCACCTGGCTAGCATAATTAGTTACAATGTTCTACTATTTCTTACAAATAATCTGACATCAAATTGTGTAATTATCTATGAATTCTTGTGAATAAGCATTAACTGTTATTACTGATTAATAGAGTTATAAATGTTTAAATATTACCCTAAATTGTGTCAACTATAAAGATTACACTATAAACTAAAAATATCTTCTGAAATTCTAAGAGCATGATTTGGAATTTTGCTTTTGAAAAATTATTTCCTCTGAATCTGAGTACAACCATCTGAGCTAAATTTTAGGTAATAAATAGTGCTCTTACCAAAATATTATTCTGGAGAAATAATGGATTGTTTGACAGCCTGTTGGAGCATTTAAATGCAATTTCCGATCCAGAGAAAGTAAAATGCCAGTTTCTGAATAATGGTAGAAAATGCATGTTTTGGAACCTCCCTATAAATATGCTAAATTCGTAAAAAGAAAAAAAAATCAGAAGTTTTCTTCTCTTTCAAATATATTCCTAGAAAGTTTATAAACATGGTCTATTGTAAATTTATTCCAAATGAACATTTATTCTCCATTAATCATTCTATATTTAATATGTATGGTATTTCTAAATAAATCCACAAGCTATAACTTAAAAACTGAATAATAATAGCATGTGATTTTGATTTTTATACTAAAAAGAGGCAAATAATATAATATAAAAATAAATAAATCTAATCATTTTAAATCGTATGTTTTATATAAAAGGAATGTTATATTTGTAACCTGAAGTAAACTTTTTTAACCACTCAAAGTTGTTAATATGCAGGAAACTCACTGGAAATGTTAATGCACTGGATCTTCTCATTTGAAATCAATCTTAAATTTAGCATGAAGTTTGTCGATTTTTAGAACTAAACTAGGCGTGCATCTGTTTCCTCCATTAATAATTTTTTATTGCTAGTCTTTTCAATTATTTGCATCTCTTAATAAGATTTTTCAACAATCGCACTTAATTATTTAAAGATGCATGAAGATACGCTACCATTAAGTACTCAGTAATATTTAAAATTAAATTTTAAATTTTTAATAATTGTAGCTGCAATCTAATTGCGCCGCTAAATTAACTATTATTTTGTCAGTTATCGTGATAAATAAATAAACAAAAAACATCTAAAAAGTACCCTCTTTTGCTAAATATTGAAGTAAAATGCGCATAAAGCTCAAGTACTGGTAATGAAATGATTAGAAATTCAAGATCTTAGGAACCGTCACCGGGTAGCAATTGCACATTGAATATTCAAATCAGTAGTTGGTAAAATCCCCTGGCGGTAAGGCATGCTTGTAAGCATTAAGGTAAGGAATAACAAAGGTTCTTAATCTCATCCTGCGATACATGCTACCAGGCATTCCTCAGCTGTTGCTTTAGATATCTGACATTTGCGGAGACAGAATCGGGCGGCCTGTCATATCCCAAACATGTTCAAATGGCGGAAGGAAGAGTGTCAATAGCTTGAAGACAGTCCAGAGGTATGCGAGCCGTATGGAGATTTACATTACTTGCTGAAAAATGGTTCCAGGATGGTGTGCCATGAAGGATAACGCAAATAAAATCATTAAGATAAATGTATATAAATCTAACACATAAAAGATCTTTTACATTTTCATGTATATAAAAGTATACATGAAAGAATTTTTACTTTGATGAAATATAATATTGTTACGAATTTGGTATTTAAAAAGCTAATATTAGTTCAATTATAAATTAATTGGTTTTATTTCTCGCGCAGTGCAGCGCGTGACGAATATTAAAAGAAAGCTAAGCCGGAAAATTGAAAATACAAGAGCGCGTGCATTAAATAAATAAATATCTCTTTTTGATTTCGAGAAAGTACTGGAAAATTCTAGCGCGTGATTTTAAAATCTTATAAAAGGAGGAAAACATCTCAGTTTGTAGTAGTTGCTTAGTTTGTTGTTGTTTAAAAAAAACTACTGTTGTTGATTGTAGCGAATTCGTGGATTAGCGTTCTTTAGCTGTTTTGAATTACGTTCTATTGGACATTTGAGTAGTTAAAAGAAAACTACTGTGAGATATTGTAATACTGCGTGATAATTTGAGAAAATTTAAGCATTTTTGTTGTGATAATAATAAATTTTTGTTCATTTTTTTCATCGGACTTGTGCATTCATTTCATAACGAACCCGTACGCACGCAACAATTTTGGTGTGTCAGAAGTGGGATTTGAATGCCAATAACAAGAGCGATGGAAGAACAATTCAGGCAAATGATGACTGCATTTGCTTCTTTCCAAGAAAAGATGGAAAGGGGCCGTCAAATCCGTTAAGGAAGAAATGAAAATTGGGCCAGGAATCCGTTTAAGGACGAAATGAAAGCCGTTCAAGCTGGTCAAGAAAAGATTGAAGCATGTCAAGAAGAAATGAAAAAAGAGAAATTACCTGCATAATAGAAAATAAATTTGAAGCTATGGAAGGCAGGCAGAATTGACACAGTTGAAAATAAAGTTGGACAAATTGAAGAAAAAGTTTCTTTCGTAAAAGATCAAATTGAAGAAAGAGTTTCTTCGGTGAAAGAAGAAATAGAAAAAAAAGTTTCTTCTGTAAAAGAACATATAGAAGGGAGAGTTTCGGCTGTGGAGGAACGAATTGAAGGAAGAGTTGTGCCGTCCAACACCAAGTCGAACAACAAATGATGATGAGAGAGTTTCTGCAGTTGCCAAAGAAAGAAATGGAAACGTTAAAGAAATTCGTAGCGACGGCAGGGGCAGGAGCAAGAATGATGATTTTAAATTCTTACCGATGCCTGCTCGTCCATTTCTGAAGCTATCCACATATGATGGGAAGACATCCTGGCAAGTGTACAAGACCCAGTTTTCTATCGTTGCGGATGCGAATGGATGGGATTCCCAAGCTAAGGCCTGTCATCTCGCCGCTTCTTTAAGAGCCGACGCAGCGGATATCCTTCAGACTCTTCCCGAAAACAAAAGGTTAGATTTCGAAGCTCTGTCCGGCGCTTTGGAGCTGCGCTTTGGAGCTGCGCTTTGGCGAGAAATGTTTAAAAGACTACAGCAGGCTTCAATTAAAATCCCGTCAACAGAAGCCCACTGAATCACTTCAGGAGCTCGCCACGGATGTTGAAAGGCTGTCACATCACGCCTTTTCGGAGTGCCCGACAGAAACAAGGGAAATCCTGTCCCTGCAATATTTCATCGATGGCATCCGGGATACTGAAATACAAAAAGCTCTACGAATGGCGGATGTAAAAGATTTAAAAAAGCGCTCTAGTGTACGCCATGAAATTCGAGGCAGCCCAGCAAGCCACTCGTCGAGACCGCCACCCAGTCAGAGCTGCTCAAGTCCAGGAGCCAGGGGATCAAGTCACCGCTCGTCTAGACGATTTAACTAGACAACTGAACGCCTTGAGACGGAATATTGGTGAGAAGAAACCGACCGTTAAGTGCTGGAACTGCGGTGCTGAAGGACACATACGACGAAACTGCAGAATACCCCAGGGTACGGATGTTAAGACCGCTTCTAACAAGCAGCAGGGAAACTAATTAGTGGCCATCTCGCGGGGCGGAGGTTGCCAGATAATGAAAAGCCCCAGTTTAAAGCGCTTCAGATTTCTGCAGTGAGAGGCGGTAGTAATGGACTTTTCATAATAGAACATATTAACGGAGTCCCCTGCAATATGACGATAGACACAGGAGCCAACGTTACCATCATCCGAAAAGATTTGGCTCAACAACTGGAAAGCAAACTTATCTGGAGGCCGCCCTGTGTTAGAATCGACAATTAGAGAAGATCGACATCAATGGGAAAGTAAATGTTAACATCACGTTTGGAAGTGCCGCTTACCATCACACGGCATATGTAGCAGAGATCACTGATTCTTGCATACTCGGATTGGACTTTCTAAGGAAATACAATTTTTCCTTGGACTTTAAAAATAACGAATTGCATTCTGCGTCTGAGGACATAACGTTATTTGGAATTAATAATGAAGAAGTTAAATCTGTCCATAGAATCATAGCACAAGACAATATCACAATACCGGCAAGAACAGAAATTTTACTCCCTGGATCTATAGCCGAAAACAGAGATTTCCGCTACGGCATCATAGAATATCCCAATAACTGTAATAGCCCGAAAGGAGGAGTACTAGTAGCCTCAACACTCGTCGACCTATCGAGAATGGTTATCCCGGTGTGAGAGTGCCAATGTAACTGAGAAGGCGAGAGTTATTAAGAAAGGCGACGTGGTTGCAGCATGTACTCCAGTAACCAGCGTTGAAAGAAAGAGCAATATCCAAGAATCCGTGTCCTCATCAGAGAGCATTACATCGGAGTTATTGCAGAATGCGCAATTGAACGATGAAGAGAAGAATGCTCCCGATCGCATCATCAAAGATCTTCAAGTTGTTTTCTCCTGCTCGTCTTCTGACGTGGGTCGAACTAGTTTGACACAACATAGAATAGATACCGGCGATCATCCCCCGATCAAGCAACATACAAGACGTCTACCGTTTGCTAAACAGGAAGAGGTGCGAACACTGTTAAAAGATATGGAAGAAGGCGATGTCATCGAGCCTTCAGCGAGTCCATGGGCATCTCCCATCGTTCTCGTCAGAAAGAAAGAAAGACGGCTCAACAAGATTTTGCGTTGACTATCGCCGGGTTGAATGAGGTTACGAAGAAAGACAGTTACCCTCTTCCTAGAATTGACGACATTCTAGACACTCTTTCTGGAAAGCAAGTGGTTCTCAACACTTGATTTAAAGAGTGGGTATTGGCAGGTAGAAATACAGCCTGAAGACCGAGAAAAAGACGGCATTTACTACGGGACAAGGGCTTTGGCAATTCAAGGTGATGCCGTTTGGACTGTGTAATGCGCCGGCAAAATTCGAACGTCTTATGGAGACTGTTTTGAAAGGTCCTTTCCTACGAAGCCTGCCTGCCTGATATACCTGGACGACATCATCATCGTCGGAAAGAGTTTTGAAGAACATTTAGAAAATCTTAGGAAGGTGCTTCAGAAACTGAAAGAAGCCAATCTGAAGCTGAGTCCGCTAAATGCAAATTGTTCCGAAAGGAAGTGACTTACCTGGGACATGTCATCTCTGCAGAGAAGGTGTGCGCACGGATCCTGAAAAGGTATCAGCGGTTAAATCCTGGAAACGTCCTGAAAATGTCCATCAGCTGAGAAGCTTCCTAGGGCTTTGCACCTACTATAGGAGATTCGTGAAGGACTTTTCTTCCATCGCAAGACCCCTTCACAAGCTGACAGAGAGCAAGCAAAGTTCTTGTGGACAAAAGAATGCGAGAGGATGCATTTAACAACTTAAAGGAGGCTTTAACATCTGCTCCAATCCTGACGTATCCTCAGCTCGACCGACCATTTATTCTTGACACCGACGCGAGCAATGAAAGTGTCGGTGCTGTTTTGTCCCAAGAAATAGACGGCCAAGAACGTGTAGTGGCCTACTGGAGCAAGTGCCTGTCTAAACCGGAGAGGAATTATTGTGTCACCAGGAAAGAGTTGCTCGCCATAGTCAAAGCCGTAGAACAGTTCCATCACTATCTATATGGCAGAAAATTCCTGCTCCGCACCGATCATGCATCATTGACCTGGCTTTTAAATTTCAAGAATCCTGAGGGTCAAATAGCCGGCTGGATACAGAGACTCCAAGAATATGACATCACTATCCGTCATCGTAAGGGATCATCACACGGAAACGCCGACGCCCTGTCTAGAAGATCTTGCCAAGAAAGCTGCCGATATTGTTCCAGGGTGGAAGCGAAATACGAGCTGCTGACTCCGGTCGCAAGACAAATTACAACATCAACATCGGCTGATCGAGAACCGTGGAGTGATGATGAAGTCAGGAAAGACCAGCTGGAAGACCGCGACATTAAAACCGATAATTGATTTAATGGAGTCATCAACCAGAAAACCTACCTGGCAGGACATTTCTATCTGTAGTCCTACAACCAAACAGTATTGGGCACTCTGGGATTCACTTCACATTCGAAACGGCGTCTTATACCGGAAATTTGAATCGGATGATGGGAAGACGTTCCGATGGCAGCTGATACTTCCAAGATCCCGCATTCCTGATGTCCTTAAAGAACTACATGACAGCCCTACGGGAGGTCACTTTGGAATAATGAAGAGCTTACAGAGAGTTCGTGAGCCCTTTTACTGGAATAATGCAAAGGATGACGTGCAAAAGTGGTGCCGATCCTGCGATGCCTGTGCAGGTCGGAAAGGACCGAAGAGACGCAGCCGAGGCAAGCTGCAACGTTACAACGTAGGGGCGCCTTTTGAACGTATCGCCTTTGACATCTTAGGACCTCTGCCACGAACTGCTGATGGCAACAAATACATACTCGTTGTCATTGATTACTTCACCAAGTGGCCTGAAGCGTACCCTGTTCCTGATCAAGAGGCTGTCACAGTAGCTGAGGTAAGGTAATGATACAGCACTGGATTTCCAGGTTCGGAGTGCCTCTTCAGTTACATTCCGATCAGGGAAGGAATTTTACCTCGGCAGTAATCAAAGAACTATGCAAACTACTCGGCATTGACAAAACTCAAACGACGCCATTGCATCCCCAGTCGGACGGCATGGTAGAGAGGTTCAATCGAACCATCCTTAATAACCTCTCATTAGTGGTTTCCAGAAACCAACAGGACTGGGACAAGAAATTACCACTCTTTTTACTGGCTTACCGCAGTGCTGTCCACGACACTACCGGCTATTCTCCATCACAAATGCTCTTCGGTCGTGATCTTCGTCTGCCTTGTGATCTATTGTTTGGCCGCCCTCCGGATGCTCCTTCATCGTCTGAGGAATATATTCAAGATCTCCAGGCCCGGTTTGAAGTGATGCACAACTTTGCACGAGAGCGAGTCAACTTGGCGACGGAGAAGATGAAAGACCCGATACGACACAAGAGCTACTGAACATCAATTCCACGAAGGAGACAAGGTGTGGTTGTGGAATCCGACTCGACGGAAAGGACTTTGTCCGAAATTACAGTCACCTTGGGATGGCCCGTACACAGTCCTAAAACAGGCTGAATGACGTCGTGGTTCGGATTCGTAAGTCTTCGAACTCTAAACCTAAAGTCGTTCATTACGACAGGTTAGCACATTACTATGGCCATAGTACATAATGTAAATAATTGTAAATAGTATAAGACCATGGTCCTTTTTGTTTATAAATGTGTATTTGATTTGATTTGTATTAGTATTTGATTTGCATTTAGTATTTGATTTGTATTTAGTATTTGATTTGTATTTAGTATTTGTTTTGTATTTAGTATTTGATAGCATTTGATTTGTTCAAGTTAGTTATTGCATTTATTGTTTATATTGTTTGATATTGTAATGTAATGTTTATGCCTCAGTTGCATTTATGCCACAGTTGTAAATTTAGCTTCCTGTCCAGGGATTGTACTGCCCGGGACGTGCAGTCCTTGGGAAGGGGGCAGTGGTAGTGTGGCAGTGTTACGAATTTGGTATTTAAAAAGCTAATATTAGTTCAATTATAAATTAATTGTGTTTTATTTCTCGCGCAGTGCAGCGCGTGACGAATATTTAAAAGAAAGCTAAGCCGGAAAATTGAAAATACAAGAGCGCGTGCATTAAATAAATAAATATCTCTTTTGATTTCGAGAAAGTACTGGAAAATTCTAGCGCGTGATTTTAAAATCTTATAAAAAGGAGGAGGAAACATCTCAGTTTGTAGTAGTTGCTTAGTTTGTTGTTGTTTAAAAAAACTACTGTTGTTGATTGTAGCGAATTCGTGGATTAGCGTTCTTTAGCTGTTTTGAATTACGTTCTATTGGACATTTGAGTAGTTAAAAGAAAACTACTGTGAGATATTGTAATACTGCGTGATAATTGGAGAAAATTTAAGCATTTTTGTTGTGATAATAATAAATTTTTGTTCATTTTTTTTCATCGGACTTGTGCATTCATTTCATAACGAACCCGTACGCACGCAACAGTATATAGAATATTTAGTTATAATAAGTAACATTCAATGCAAGACATGTTTATAAATTACTTAAATATTATTTCAGAAAAATGTTTAAATTTTATCTGATGCTAAGGGAAATTCAAACTGAGTACTTTGTACGGTAAATTTATCTCTTCCAAAAAAGTGACTCTAATTTATATTCTTTGCAGAGCCAAGACATCCTATATTTTCAAGTGTGTTTTGTAGACACATTAGTACAGAAGCTTTCGGACCAAGGAAGCCGAAATGGTTTAAAGCTCTTACTACAGCTGAAGTATGTCAGAAGCTATAGAAATTTTTAATTATTTTCTTGAGTAAATATGGTTTATTGCATACTATCAAATTAAATTTATGTATTCTAGACACTTTTTCTTTAGAATTATGTGGATTTTTGCAAAGTGTCCCAATAAGACGTATGATTATAAATCGTGAAAAATTAGCTGTCAAACTTTTATAACTTAGAATCACATGAGACCACGATTTTATTGCATGGTTAAAGCTGAAATCGAAAATACCTCTTCGATTTGCTTACCCGAAAATTATCATTTAAATACTCTCAGGAATGTATATCTTTATCATGCTAAATATTTTATGAAAGCAATTTGTAATATGTGACAAATCCAAGACATGACTATATTAAATAGAATTCAGTAGAATTCAGGTCTGTTTATTCTATTCTGGGAAATTTCATTTCACGTTCATAATTCAATATTGATTATAAATATGATGTACAAGAATGTCTAAAAAACGCGAGAACGTTATTCGACATATTCAACAGTTTACAAGGTACAATTTAATTGAAATGGTTTCGATGCATCGTTTTGTTTATAAGGTGATATGAGACTTCAAATTCTTCTAACATCATTTACAAAGGTCATGACTCATTTTCAATACAATCCTTAGGTAAATAATCAATACAATAACCAGGTAAATGAAAGAATATTAATGTAGTTAACAAGCCTTCAGTGTAAAGTAATGTTTGTAGGCGTCAGGTGTGTGAGAAAAATCGCATAAAAATGGAATAAATGGAAGCAAAAGGTCAAAGGCAAGGAAAGTTCGGGAAACGCTTTCCTGCCTGTTATGACTTTATGAAACTTGCGGAATGCAAATGTGATAAGAAACTATACCGAGAAACGCTTCCTCTTAGACATTAGTAAGAACTCTCGGAAGTAAACTGCAGTAGGGAAGATTTCAAAAGCGTAACCTTCTTTATAATATTGTTACGAATGTGTATATAAATAGATGATTGTAGTGAATTATATGTGAAATTTTTGTATTTTTTTTTGTTTAATGTAATTTAAGAAAATAACCTATGCTGTAAAAGTAAGAATATAAGGGCAAGTCCATTTAACATTGAGTAAATGGGTATCTCGGTAATTTTGGCGAGATATTTCCAAGCTGGCAACGGTTTTGGCGACTTTTAGTAAATGTAATTGATCACTATATTTACTGCAACCATAGTTCGAATTTAACATTGCTTTGCAGTAATTTTGAGAAGGAGAAAATACTAGAAATATCTCCGCGGCCGATGGAAAGGTACACAAAGCCGGAGTGAGCATCTCCTCCCAGTAGCTATTGTTGTTGCAATATGTTAGTACAGAGTGAAATGATATCTTCTTTATATGCCCTTTGCATTGCGTTGTATTTAAAGATCTTAGTAGTTTGAAGTTTAAAGACTGCTTATACTCTGTGACACTGTGAACACCTGTACGAATATTTCTATGGAAAATTACAGAGTTCTGAAATATTTTTTTTGATAAAAGTAAATTTTATTAACCTATTATCGGACCTGTGCATTCAGTCTATTATGAACCCGTACGCATGCAATAATGTTTTCATTTAACGAAAAGATATTCTAGCTTAAGTTTTCGCCAAAATTATGACATGTTGCGAGTAGTATGCGAAACAGATCTCTGAATGCTAAAACGCTGCGGATGAAAATAAGTCGCAAATTTGTGTTCTGGAAAAAAGCATTTCTCGGAACATTATCTGATTTCATCCGTAGGTCTAATAAGGCCATTTAAACGTTCCTTAAGTAAAAATCGTGCGTAGTGGTTCAATACGTGTCACGTTATTGTAATACGTATTACTTGACATTATTGAACAATTCAGACGAGAGCACGTACCCACGAATGTCGTTCTCATGTTTCATAGCGCGTGATATGTCTCATAATAAGTACTCAAACTGTTGCCTGTTTACGTCATTGAAAATGGAATTGTATTCATGAGTTGCAAACTATGTAATACTGAATTGAAATGAACACTTCCAGTGATGCCTGGTTGATTTGAATGCACTCAAGGTAACTTTCAAGAGTTTCTGCATCACCTCAACTAATTTCACATGGCTGAATAAGAACAAATCGATTTATTTCAAATCTGACTATGTGTAAGCAGAGAGGGTATCACAGAGCGTGCATCATGGGGTTCTGTTTTCATGTCACTGGATGTCAAGGGTTTTGAAGTCCTGTATATCCTGAATAAAAAAAAAAAAAACGGTGTACCTAAGCTATTCTAACGGTATTCTATTTCTTCTAAACTCTCGAATATGCCATGCAGTATTGTCGTACTTTTTTTTTTTTTTTTTTTTTCGTACATGCAGCGTTTTTTAATTCTTCATCTCCGAATAATTTTAGAATTAGAGTCATTTGGTCATTTGCCTAAAAATGAGAAGATTATAAGAAGCATATCAGAATGAAAAAATAGGTAGTTTGAGGTTTAAATGAAGATAGATCGTGTTAAACAATAAAATGGAACTTTCGCAATATGTATTAGCATTAACTATTGTTAAAATTAAGTCTATTAACTTCTCATGAACAAGATACTAAAAAAAATGGACTGTTTGAGACTACTATAATTTTGCTCCTTATTTTACTAACATGTAAACACATATTTTAATAATTTACTACTGTGCTTATTTCTGTTCAAATGGTATTCGACTATGGCTAATCCCTTATGAATCATGAATATTGTGTATGATAAATCAAAAAAGTCTTTTATAATGTAAGACCAAATTAACTATATATAGTAATAGTATCAAAATCCAAAAAAAATAGTTTAACTTCAACACAAATCCTCTATTTATGCAATCTGAATACAATACATACACAGCATTTAATATTATGCAAAATAAAGCAACCTCAGTTTACTCAAATTTTGAATGAAACTCCATCGATTTGGCATATTTCCTTTTTAAGTTGTCTTATCAGGATTTTATGGCATTTCGTGTATTATAAAATAAGTATTTTATGCTTCAGGTTCCTACATTACGATGCCTAATCGAGATAATTTGTTTTTTATTGTGGGAAAGAAATTTAAAATATATTTTAAAAGCCAAAATATAGTTATGCTGCAAAACTAGCTGTAGTGATTTATTTTTTAAATAAAATACTTTGCTTTATTTATACTGGGCTATTTGTATCCAAATGAGAGCCAAATATTCACGAACATATGTTTAAAATGTTGAAATTTCCTCTGCAGCTTTATCTTTTCAAAGACATTATGAGTTATGTAGAAGTTGGGCGCGAAAGCGTGTTTCGGTTCGATGACTTCTTGGAAGCCCTTCAAGATTTTGACTCTTCCATAACTCGAGAAGAAGTAGTAGATGTTCTCGACAGCATGGAAAAGAATGAATTTGAAGAACTGGATTTTGGAAAATTCCTCTTCCTTTTAGCTTACAGGGACCGGCAGGCTGATCCTGATAATGCAGGTCAATTTCATTAAAATATATAAACATTTCTTCATTCTATTCTTTCTAAAAGAGAACTCTGTTCTTCAATTCGGGTGTATATATATCTTAAGATGATATTTGAATTTGCTTAGATTTTATTTTAATAAATATTGCCACTGAATTGAGTTTTGAAAGACTTGAAGTAATAGTTCAAAGTTAATTTTAATCAATGAAAATAAATGTGTTATCTTTTGATAATACTTACATATGTAATTTTGACACCTCTTGTGAATTAATATAGAAAAATATACATTTTCACCGCACTTGAATGTAAAAAAATAACTATAAATATATAGTGCTGCGATAATATGTTCCAAGATTTACCGTGGATGCGTGAAACCATGAATAACTGCAAACGATGTACTAAGTAGGATATTAATGTAACAGGCACTATTATGCTTAATTGATACATTATGTAAGCAAGACGTTACCAATATTAAAAAAAAATTAACAAAAATATATACTATTCTTAACAGTGTATTATATACTGCGTTACTATACACTATAATGCAAAATAATATGTAATCTATAATATGTTCTTTCTCCTGTGAAAATAAGGGATTTTGACGTTTAAATTTAATCCGTAAAATACCATCAGAAAGAATGCATTTTTTACAGCATAGCATACCCTTTCGTAAGATGATACAGGAAGTATTAATTTTTCTAGAATTACCAGCAAACTAGTAGCTTTTCCAAATATTTATAATATTACTAGACTTATGGTAGGAAGGGGGCGTTTGTAGTAAATTAATGAGAACAGGAAAAATCCCAGAAAAAAGAGGAAAATAATATCTAAACAAGAAATATGAGTACTGAAACAGTAAAAGTCAAATGCGTTCTGCCCACTACTACTATAAGATTGTTTACCAACATATTTATAAATTTTAAAAACTTAGGGTGTGGGATTAAAATCTGAGGATTTTTTTGTACCATGAAACTACACTTTCTAACATTCATTCATAACATTTCCATAGTAATGCATCATATGTAGTTGCATCAACCTCAAATGGTTGTGAAGTTGCGTAGAAAAATAGTACTTAGGGTTTATTTATATTATTTCCGTTATATTACGAGTTATTGTTACATCGCTGTATCCCTGGAATCCCCAACTCTGTCGCCCCAATCAGCAGATAAGTAAAATTACAAGAATGCTGAATCAGCGGATAATGAGGCAAACCAATACAAAATTATCTGTTTAATGCACCTTTTTTGACTGGTACAAGTAGAAGCTAGGCCAGGACCTCTGTACTACCACATAAAATTGAGGTATTGCTGAAAATAGCTAACTGTTGAGATTCTGGCTCAATTTTGAGGAAGAACATCCTGGAGGATGGTTCGAGGGTCTCCCATCCTTCTTCAACTACCATCAACCTCTTGAAAAGACTTTCGGCTTGCCGTTTGATTTAAGTGTTCCCACGCTGCTCGGCCACGATACGCGTACAAGCTTCCATGCCTTCTCCAGGATTCGAATCTGGGCTCATTGGTATGGCAGTTAGTGTCACGACGCCTGCAATATAATCTGTTCAAACGTAGTTAACTGCGTGTACATTTGACTTAATAAGTAAGTAAAATTCTGCCTGACAAGTCGGCCCACCATTGGCCGATTAACTAAGACCATTGAACATCAGCAATGAGGCCTGATTTCGAATTTTCAAGAGTGGCTGGCTGCTTGAACTATTACATACTTTTCCCCAAGTGTAATGTAAATACTTTTCCGAATTCAGCAAAACAAACAGTTTGACAGATCATAATTTAATTTAGACAGAGCTATGGGGTCTAGATTTTATTTAACTTTAAGTAATAGCTTAGAAACAGAAATAGAACTACAAAAATGATTTTAAGCAATCCAACGTGTAGACTGCCTTTCCGATTAAAAAGCAAGTAATTTTGAGGATGGGGATTATTATTTTTTTCTAGCTTAGGATTATTTTACTCGATGTTCACTTAGATACGAACATATATGAAACCATGTGGAGAAAACGATTCTTTTCATTAGTATAGCCTTACAATCAGTGATAAATATGGAATGGTAAAAATTTTAAAATCCATAAGAATTCCGTTTTTTTTTTTTTTTTTTTTTTTTTTTTGTAGATCAACTCCGCGTATCGCATGTAGAAGTCAAAAATATAAATGTTATGGAGATTAAATTAGAACGGTGTGAAAATAAAATGATTAAGCGAATCACTGAGCAAGGAGTGTTCTAAAGTTAGAAATAAAATGAAAAATCTGATTGAAATTTAAAGAAAACCATATCATTCTCTCGTAGATGATGTCGAGAAAAAACTTTCTTCTCGAATCGTAACACAACGACAAAGTCTGATCCTTTCTGCCATTGCTTACTTCGTACTGATAGCTAGTCCAGAGGAGATAGAACGATATTACATACAGAACACACGTCGCAAGAGTACAGTTCTTCATCGACATTTAGAAGCGACAAGACTTCAAGGTATGCTGCATTTGGGTATACCCTCTTTTAGACTGCAAATGATTGTATTGTTACAAGGATTACAGCAATGCAAAATATAAAAGCATATATGCATTTTATTAATAAAAAAATAAAAACGAAATTGCATTTTATAAATTACTCGCTTTTTATAAATAAAAAATAAAAGCATGCAATTTATACAAAATGATGCATAATCATCTTTTTTGTCCATATATATTGAAAAATAAGGAAGGAAAAATAATTTAGTGGGAAATAAATTAAATTTTTTATATAATTAAAATACACTAATTTATTAAAATTATTTACCCTTACTAGAAATTACTGGAGTTTACTATACACTTTTTGTCCAAAGTATATTGGCATATGTTTGCATCGTTTCGGTTCGTAATTTGTTTGCGTATTTAGGCTATTTTTAGTTTCTTTATTTGTGCCATTTATAGTTATTTATACCTCTTTATTTTTGGCATCAATATTAAGGGTTCCCATGTGGCGCAAATCTTCAACATCCGCAACTTTAATGCAGGACATTAAGTTGACCATTTCTGTAGCAATCTGAGAATCTGCCTTTCGTGTGTTTTCCGTCACATAATCCACGATTTTAACATACGTATTTTCAGCGGTCACATTTACACTGCGGCCTGGTCTGGATCATCTTCGAGTAGAATACTCTCCTGTATAAACATCACATTCAACCTTTTTAACTGTAGCATAAGTAAGTTTTGTATCATCACAGAATACTAACAATACGTTCGGAAATATTTATTCGTATTATGATTTATTTATTAAATTATTATTACTGAGTGACAACATTTAAGAGCCTCTCAAAACTTCAGCTAATAACAGTTGCTATATATGATTTTCTTTTTATACTTCTCCAGGACATTATAATTTTCTTTGGACTTAAATTAGGATAATGTAATTTTATTTTTTCTTTAAACGTGGCTTTTTTAATTTTTAATTGCAACTTTCTGTCTGAGAAGTATGTGACTCATTTAACACAATGAAACGAGAACTAATTCTATAAAATAGGGCTAACCGACAGACAAATGGAAGTCAAGCAACGGAAGGCAAGAGCAGAATTGCTCCCACTTTTTGCTGCGACTGGTTCCCCTTATGCTGCTCCAGTACCATTCGTGCCTCGTTTTAGAAAAACGAAAATTTACAAAGAAATGACGAAACGCAAACTTACTTCACCTAAGTCAGGTAAGAGTTGCGTTTATAAACTTATCTTCCGACAGTAAATTAAAATACAAATCCTATGCATATAAAGAAAGCAAGAATAAGTTTAAAACAGCAGAAATATGAGTTTCATTTCAAACCAGCTGTTGCGGTATATTTTTCATAAAAAATGTGTATGTACCTTGTATATCTAATATGTATCAAAGGAAGACGCTGTCTCTGTGTGTCTTTCGCTCGTGCTGCGCGTACGCTAATAAATACGAAATTTGGCTCTTGTCTAGATACACCCAGGGCTACGAAATTTGGTACATAGGGTGTATCTAGACAAGACCCAGTGCACCTCGAAGCGATTTCTCAAAATACGAATGAGTTTTTGTAAAAGTTTACAATTGGGTGCCCGTTGGTTTTGGCGATTCTTTTTTGACGCCAAGATTGGCGGCAGGAAGGCACAATTTCAAGATGGCCCCTACACTAAATCAAAATAAGAAGTCAAAGAATTGCACAAACTCTATTTGTATGTACACATCGATCTATTTTCCCATGTAAAAAATTCCATTTAAAAAAATTAGCCAAAACAAAGTTAAAACTATCATGGTAACCAGAAAAATGAGGTTTCATCGCAAAAATTCAACAAAATTTGTCGCTAATCGAAGGGGCATCCACTTCTACACTAGAGCCGAATTTTTAAAATTTTTTATTTTATGTTTTTTGATGAAATCGCATTATATCAGCAACAATGTCACGCAGCCATTGTTGCTGATATATCACTGGCTGTATCATATTTCACTATAATGTTCCTGATATCAGCACTATTGCCACTCGGAAAAATGAGGGCAATAATTCTGTACAGTTTTTAAATTTAACGTTTCTCTTGGATATTAGACGTTTGTCGACAGAAGGCAACGGGAAGTTGACTAATTTATTTGTTAGGATAATTAATATTTTTATTAAGGGATATTACTTATTTCATTGCACTGTTTTATATGAAATACGTTTTTATTAATTTTTTGATAAAGTTGTTCTACAGAAAATTCTGTGCAGATTTTAAATTTAATGTATTTTCCCCTTTAGCCATTTTTTCTGGTACATTTTTAAAAGCCAGACGAAGGCTGGCCGCATCGCGGCTAGTTATCAATAAAGATAGTCACTCAGACATTTCATTACACATGTTACTACAAGGTTAATTCTTTCGTTTGCAATAAATAAAGAAACATATCATTATTGTTCTCGGTTAATGAATGCCAATATATCAGTTGATAAATGCATGTGAATTAGAACTTCATTTAAAAACATAAAATTCGTATTATGAGTATCGGCTTTGAACATTTCTAGATTACAATAAAATATTACATGATAAAAAAATGAGGGCATAATTTTAAAGGCGTTTGCCAGGTTACGATTTAGTATTAAGCGGCTGAAATGCTTTATACTGAAAATTTCTTTAGAAAAGTTACTATCTAACATATGCAAGTCGCTACGATATAGAATCGAAAAAAAATATTTACCATATATATATATATATGTATATACTAATACTGCAGGGGGAGTAATTTAATTTAAATTTAAGTTGTTTTGATTCCTTTACATAGTTGTTATTAGCAGTACATTGGATATTTCTAGCCATGTAAGCATAACAACATATATGCTAAAATAAAATGTGGGAACCGTTTTATGGACACATTTGAGAAGAAATGAAATTATGAAAGCATTACTTTTAAGTATGAAATTTATTGATGCCAGCAAATTCGAATAATTTTAATCAGTATTCTAATAACATTTTCGCTTTGAATTACATATTTCATGAGACATCTTATAGAGTCGTATATTCGTATAGCATAAGCTAACGAGAGTTAACATATAGTGTGAGGAATTATCCTCAGATCTTAAGTACGGAAAAGTCCAAAGAAGGGTGTAAGAAACCATTTATTAACTTAATATAAATTTCACAGTTAACACCGACTCGCGCTTACAGAAGCCAATACTTTTGGTAAAAGTCGGCGTAAACAAGCTTAATGGCTAGAAGCGCTCAACGTCACAGAAATCTAATCGCTAGTAAATCAAAAATAACAACATGGCCTTCAGGCAGGCAGAATACGCTCTAAAACATCTTCAAAAACATTTCCTTAAATAAAATTTCCTTCTACTTATTTGAATATACGCCTGCTAACTGATTAACATTTGGGCAAGAAAGCCTGGGTTGAAAACGAGAATAAAAAGAAAGTTGCTGTAAAAAATTAAGAGTTAGATAAATTAAATGAATCCCCACAATGTAATAAATCAACTTAGTATAACTTGACGAAATTTTCGGCTTACCTTCAATTACGGTACGCTTTCATTTTGACCGCAACTTAATTAATGGAAAAAATCGGCATTTGAAGTTTTTTTCAATAAAATATTCTTAGTTTAAATTTATTTTGGTTGCAGGTTTAAAAGGCCTCAAAAAGTACTTTTCTTTGTTATTTTACATAATTACATGTCCTTGGAGTAATAGTTGCCTTGCTGACGCTAAAGGTGCAGATAATGAGTGATAAACTCATTAAAGGATAATTTCATGGCTAATATCCATATCGAATATATATCATAGGAAGCTTTTATGCTAGAAGCGGTCGAGAGCTTTCTCCACGTCCAGCATAAAGAACACTATGACCTGTTGATCATAAATTGGTGGACTGACGAACTCGTCCAATAATACAGAAAAACTGCATAGTGGGGGTTGACAGACCTAGTAAAGTTTTTAACTTTGGAATTATCTTTACCAGCCTTTGGGATGAATATCCCAGCGGCATGTTTCCATACCTCGAGTTGATAAATAGTATTGAGACAAGCATAGTACACATTGCACTATTTTGAAACAACGTTCCCAGACAGGGATTTAAGTCTTTTATGTAATTAATGTTTAAAATGTAAAGAATAATTTTTAATGATCGATATGACAGCCTGACATAAGTCGGCATCATGATTCCCATGACCTTTTCTTAAAGTTTTCAGAGATATTCATTCCAGTTCCTCTTCCACCACTTTCTAGAGGCCATCAGTTGTAATGGGTTTGTTCTTAAAGAGAGCTATTTATAAGAGATAATTTATAATTCCATAGGTCAAACCTTAGGTAAGTTTATAAGAATAAATTGAAAACCTATATATTCAACAAATGATTCAGTCTTCATTTTCTCAAGGAATGCAGTGGCACTTTTCAGAGTATAAAAACTTGCTTTGTTTTGATGAAGTTTCACCCCTTGAAAGTCATTCGCATAAAGAGATGGAATTTCTTTTGTAAACATCGAATACTAAGATGATTTTAACATTTTTAGCACTCTTCTCTTTAATTTCCCATTCTAAGAGAATTCTTTAACGATCATAAAAGCCTTACTGAAATTTCCTTTATATTGTTGCGACCAGGTTTATATATATATATAAACCTATATATTTTTTCTTTCCGTTTTCTATAGTAAATAGATCTATTTATGTTTCATTCATTTAAGTAAACCATGCTCATCAGCGGTCACAATGTTTTTAAATTTATTTCCTGCTATATAGTTCTCATAAATGATTCTAAAAATCATTCTGCGTTGAGCTTCGGTGAACGCTACGGAGCAAAATGTTTTCTAGCTTTTCTAAGTTGTAAATCTTGGTTTATTATTTTACTTATTATTACTGCAGATATATTTAAAGGCTTTGCAATTAATTTATGCAATCGACATATTTGCTGTTGTAACCAACGATTTAACTTTAGAAGCATTAGGAACAGCACATACATTTTCTCGCGTATTCGTTTGGCGTCTTCTTTCCATGTTTCTACATGGAAACTGACTGACGGTTTTTCCCTTTCCGATTAATAATGGTGCTTATGTATGACTTCGAACTTAATTCTATACAGTTCACAACAGTTTTCAGTTATAAAATAGGAATATTTCGTTTCAGAAAGCGCAGAAACTTTTCCTTCAATCCACAGCTTGTTTACATGCTAAATTTTGAAAGAATAAAATAGTACCAGACGATATTTCTCGTTTCAAATAATGAGCTGTTATCAGAAATGCGTACTCCAAATGATATGCTATTTTTAATTCTTTATAGAAATCGTTTTAAAAATATATATACTGTCTCCGTAAAATAAATTTTACTTTTTAATTTTTTCTTACAATTTTCAAATTTTAAAATCCTACTCAGTTTAAATCCTAGGGCGGCTTAAATACGAAGTAATACGATAATTATAATCCTGAGAATTTTATATACAAATGTTTTCTAGCTTATATATATGTATAACTTTAGAGAAAGCATGCTTTTATTTGAATTTCCAGCTATGCCATTCGCAAAAAAGCCAATTGTTCGACCAATAAAGCCTATAAAAATGAAACGTGAATTCGGAGATAAAATTGGCAATAAAACAGAAGAAGATGAAATTTATGATCAGATGAACTACGGAAGAATACCCATGCCACAGATGAAAATGCCAGCAAAACTTCTTAAAGAAATGAGGACGAAATGTACAGTTGAACTAAAAGATTATATAACTGAGAAGGTATGTTGCGTTCAAATTAACATTCTCAGAACGATTATATAAATTATGCTGCATCAGCATTAATATTTCTAAGAAAGATATACTTTTATTAATCTATTAATACATTAGAACATAGCGAAAGTAATTTATAACAGTTTTTTTTTGTTTGATTTATTTTAATTATGAGAAAACACTAGAGAGCTACCTGCTTAAGGACAGCAATGACGTGGAAGACTTTCTAAGGGACCATGGCTCATGTACAAGGTACACATGGGAAAAACTACGAAAAATGCTCATGCAGCCAGTCCTTTCCCCGAGATTAGAACCCCGGATTCAACTATTATGGTTCAGTGACTCTACCGCTTGGCCATTGGTTAGCTAGTAATTCGAGTAAAGAGTTTTTAGAAAAATGCTATTGATAATAATTACGTCTGCTACTCATTCTAGTGATCTTTATAATTATGTTTCTTTTCAAATTTTCGTAATAAATTAAATAAAAAAATTACTTAGCTGCATGAATCTCCATATTTAATCGTTCATTATACAAAATTATATTTTCTCTCCCCTACCTTTTGTCAAAAAGTTTAGTTTAAGCAACATAATGAAGATGAGCTTCGCGCAAAATATATCTGTATCATGTATTCTAGAAATCTGATTAATTGTCGTGATAAGATTAAATTTCTAAATTTTGGAAAGGTCTCTCTTTTATCTCATAAATAAAATGAATTATTGCAATCCGACCGAAAGTGAATACTTTGAATAGAAATCCTTGCGTCTAGGGCAGTAGTCTCAAACTCGAGATGCGCATGCGGCCAAGGAAATTTCCTCACTATTCTCGTGTTTCCAGTTTAGATTAAAAGTAAGTTATCCAGTGATTAATTCAACATACTGGAATGACCGGAAATCAATTTTAGTCAAAAGTGTAATATTTAATTTACGAAGGAATCCACTATGAGCTCTGCTGTTATTAGGACGTTATACCTGCTTAATTTATAGATGAAACTTCGTTTTGATACGTTAGATATATTGCTCTGCATTTGATACGTGAGATAGATTGCTCTGCATTTTACACTTTGAATTCTATATATTTCCGAGGTACGATTGAAAGAAATCACAGTTACCTTACCCAATGTGCAATTTGAACCGATAAATAAAGTTACTGCTAAACATTATAATTTAGTGCATAATAAACAACTTGAATTCCACGTTCGTTAGCACATAAAGCGATCCCAGGAATTCAAATTGGGAAGCTATAATTCTTAAAATAAAAGAGGGGCTAGAATCTTTGGCCATTGTTTTAAGGCTTTTGATCACAATACTTTAAAGCTTGTGGTAGAAAAAAAGAAAATTTTGAACTCGCGAGTAATTGTAAACTTATTTTATTTTTGTTCCTAATTTAGTTAATTCTTCTAGATTCAAATAAAATGTATAAAATATCCAGTTACATGATAAACTGTTTTTCATCCTTGCTTTTCTGCAGGCTTATGAAGCAGTTAAAGAATATAAAGAGCGCTTGAGACGAGCGACTGTCCTGTATGGTAGAAGAAACCTGCTAAGAATTTTGCGCCAGAAGTTTCCCACTAAAGCCGAAGAGGATGCATTTATCGAAGTAAGTTACCATTTCGAAATGTGATTATTTGGTGTAATATCGGTGCAGATGTCCAATACAGGTCAACGACAAGAATCACGGATGCTAATGGGAAACAGATATGAGTTTTGTCAATAGAAATTATTGTCCTGACACTTCCGACTTCTACGAAATATGCTATTGTTCCGAGTCAGTTGTTATTAAGATTATATAAATATTAGCTCTCTTTGGCAATCTTAATATTAAGTTCATTATCCTATTTTATGCGAGAAAGGAAACAACATGATTAGAATAATAAGTCTGTAAATCATTAAAAAGTATATGAAGGTGCGTTAAAGTGAAAAAGCTAAAATTTTTCTTTATTTAAAGGAAACGAACAACGTTACACTACTTGATATTATCAATACTGGTCAAAAACGTGTTAATTGTTAGATAAAAAAATAGTTTTTATTCTAAAAATTAATGAGTTATTTTTTAGAATTTTTAATTATTCCAGTTTACTTGTCTTTAACATAAAAGTAATATTTTTTTACAGAAAGGAAAGTTTTGTAAGGTTTCGAATTTCACAAATGGTTTTTGTTTTTTAAGTTTTGATTATGATTTCTGTTTGAAGAAATACTTTAAGAAATTACGACTGTAATAAATGAGACTCATATTTTAACGACAATTTTAGGGCATTCTTCTTGCCCATGCAGCCAGCGCACTGGCTGAAATTCGAAATACCAGTGTTCAGTGATCTTGATCGCTCGGACACTAGGGAAGGGAGTGTAGGACTTTTAAAACTCTTTTGAATTAAACTAAATAGTTTTCTTTATAACAACTAATGTAAAGCGTTGATAACACCATCTGTTAAGTAACACTAATTATTAGTTATGTTAAATAGAATAAAAGTTGAATTTTGGAAAATTGCAGCTACGTATGAAAGAGACATACATCAACATAAAATTAAACAAACAAACAAAAAAAAAAAAAAAAAAAAAAAAAAAAAAAAAAAAACTTCATATTGCCTTAGATTCCATATAAAAGTTAGTATGGAGTTCAAGGGCAGTTGACATAGGTTCCTTTTTCAATTTTGGAGCAGGAGCGTAACGGAGATTTAAATAAATAGAGGAAGAAAGATGAATGGGCGAGTCGCAAGATGAAATAAATATAGTATCGTTTATCAAGCGAAATGAAATTAAATAGAAAATCGGATTTGGACACCACATGACTTTCTTGTATGTGCTATCAAATTATATGCATTGTTTCTGCACTTCATTTGAACGTATTTCCTTGAATTATTCTAACTTAATTAACCGATTCTTCAAGGAAAGTTGAAAATGAAATAAAAAATTGCAAATTTTTAAAATTAAATATCTCGATTAATTGTTTTCGTACGGTAGTCAAACTTCTTATTTTAATTTTTCGTAACGAGTTTAAAATTTTCTAAGTATAGGAACTGGGAAACTACATTAAAAGCTACATTTTGCTATTTGTCAAAAATTATTTTTTTTTTAATTTAACATTGCCGAAACATGAATATTTTCGTCATTTAAAAAAACTTGGAAGATGCATACATACGATGAACGATTGCAAAAATACGAGTAAAAGCCGGGTGAAAGACTTTTAAATCATACATACTTGGCTGGGTGGGCATATATACGTTTGATATTGTCAAAAGTGATGTGCAACAGTTCCATATCGAAATTTTCAACGTTCTCTAGCTAATTACATTTTATCTAAGCCAGATGCATATCTATGTACATACGTACGTAAATACGTCATGAAAAAATCCCTTTGAATCCATTTTACAGTCCGTTTTCGAAACAAGAGTCCTTAATTCTACCCTTGCATACAGATGTCACGCAAAAAAATCGTCCAGATAGATTCGGGCGTTATCAAAAGAGATATTTCTGTTGAGAAATGATACCCAAACTTTTAGGGATTACAATACTTCCTTTGCTTCATATAAGGAAGAAAAAATCAATACAAAAGTATTAGGCTTTCGAAATTTACTGAAATACAAGATGAGATTTTTTTCATGGCTTTTTCAATTAATATGAATCCAAAACTTCTGTCATTGAAAATAAATTTTAAATAACTCAAATTCCTGCGAAATAAATATTGTACGAAAATTCTTGAAAGCACAGTAAATGAAAGAAACTTTTCGTTAACAAAATCACAAGGCTGGCCTCAAATTTGAGGACAAACAGAAAAACGTTTTCCTGTAAACATTTCTGAATTCATTTTTCTTATTGGTAATTCGAAAATCAAATTAGCGAAGGAACTTGCTTCCTTCAATTTTAAGCGTGAATTGAATAACTGAATCAGTCGGATATCAAGCAAAAAGAGTTTCAAAATTCATTTTCATATATATACATTTAACATGTGAAACTGAATCATACATTCGATTGATTAACCCTTTTATGTGAATCTTGAACCTGAATCTTGAAATTTTCTATCTTGCCTTATATCCAATTCAGATAATCGGTTCGTAAAAGCAAATGAATCATGTATATCAAATTTAACCGATTTATTTGCAATCTGAAACTGAGCTATACAATTCATCTTCCGCCTTGGCATTCTAATTACCCGTAATAAATATCATTTTCACGATACATTTTATAATTAAAATTTTCATTCCTCATGAAATCAAATCTTGTCTTCTTGCTAACGCTAAACAGATTCTTCTTAAGTTTATTGTGCTCTTATCCTCCGCTCTTTACAATCTTTTCTTACTCAGGAAGTCAGCTATAGCAATTGACAGATGTTTTATATCCTAAGATATTGATAAAGGCCTTAAAATGCTCTTCTTACTATCATAAAAAGACTTCTATTACAAATAGCAAGAACCTTCTGGTCATTCCTTTTTCCCTTTCCTTAGTTTCAAAATTACTTGGATGCTTTCCAAGTTCACCTTTCAAATTATTGTCTCAATCATCTATAAAGCTCGCCGTTCGATATTTAAAGATCGTACTTCTGGTTTTATTTCTAGGGGAGATTTTAACTTTCGTTATCAGTTCGGTTTAAAAAATATAGACCAAATTAATATAGGGTTAAAATTTCTCAACAAATAACATCATTTTATATTAGAAACGGAGATGTAAAAATAAATCTAATCACAGTTAATCACTTAACAATAAATCTAATTTGAGTTCTAATATGAACCCCAAACACCTCGTCTCTTTTGCTAAACAAGATTTCTTTGCAGCCTTGCATATACCCAAAGTTCTAGCCTTTTGTTAATGACATCAGTTCCAGTCTATGTTTCCCCAAAGGTTTCAAAATTCTCCTACCTTTGATTTTATTTCCATTTAATTCCCTTTATTACGCAAGACACGGTGCTACCTTTACTCCACTTTCGGCTTGCGTTTTCATCTTGCCTCTTCTATTTATTTGATTCTTTGCTCCTAACTGTAAACTTTTCTGCTATTGAAGAAGAAAAACTCATGTCAGAAAGATATCTTTGAAATCGATAAAAGATTTTATGTAAAATCTCCATCCAATTCTTTTCCCGTTGTTTTATATATTAGAGCGATGTAGAGTGTTTAGGTTTGCTATTGCTTCCACTTTAAAAAAAATGTTCGGGAGGGTTTTAATTTATTTAGTTGTTTTTATCATACTGATTAACTTGAGAGCAATTAAGCAATATTTTAACTGCTTAATTAAATATTAGATAATATATGCTGACAGCAAACGTTTTCAAGCTTTATCATTGTCTGTTAGGTTATCGCGTGACGGCATAACGCGCAATAAATCTTAAAACAAACTGCCGTTAGTTTAAGATTCATTCAGTCGAAAAGGCCAATAAGTAATATTTGCTAAGACGTATCATAATTCTTTAAATCCAGTTCCTCAGTTATTTGAGTTGCGAAACTGCTGTACGTTCACAACATTTCTGCTATTGAATTCTGTACGTGTTTTTGTTACAATCGTTGTGGCAAGGAACCACATAACATATCTCTTAGTTTCATTAAAATGCGATATATGTTATATGCATGATTCTTTGTACAATTCTTTAATTTTTAGAAGCATATATTGCACAATCCGCTACTATTATTTCTTTTTGTATTATCTACACCTACGGAATTTGTGTATACAAAAATAAAACTGAGCTGCAAGTTGCAAAGCATGAAACAATCAACAAGAATGTAAAGGGGATGGCTTCGTGAGCGATTTCTTAAAGTAAGCCAGTCTTGTATTCATATCAGAAATGAAATTAACTACGAACAGATCTAGTTACCGAAACTGACATCTAAAAGGTTCAAACCACTGAGATGACAATAGAACTTTAGCGATTACAAAGCAATTACGTTACGGTTGTACTACAGGTGTGTATATAATCTATGGATTTCAAAATCGCAATCATTTTTATAATTTTTGTAAAATTCTAACTATACTTAATTATACGATATACTGAGATCACATCATATGTCTTATAGGTGTTAAAAGAATTAATAACAAGTCAAAACATTTCGATTTTCTGCACGTAGCTTTGAACTGATTTGTTTCTTTTACTTCACAGCTTTTTGAAAGATATTTCCCGCTTGAAATAGAGGATGTGAAAGACTTTTCTCTGTGGGTGCGTCCAGCTGGATTTAGAGTCTGTCATACTGGAAAACCCCTTTATCCTGATAAGTTTGCTTTCGGTACAAAAATTCCTTAATCAAGCATGAGAATATGCAAAAACAACAGTTCTCAATATTATATCTCTTTAAACGAGTTAAAAATATAAATTTTATAATAATTTCAACTAGGTTTGTTATATATACCAAATAAATATTTGTATTTGAATGAATATAATTTCATTTCTGCTAAATCAGGGTTTCTTAAACTGTAGGTCGTAACTCCCAAGGGGACGGGACCTACAGCAGGGGGTCGCCAAAAATTTTAACAGTTTTAATCTTTCTTTAACTCATTATAATAATTTTGCAATTACCAAATATTTTTACACAATGTATCTGGAAATAGATAAAGATAAGGCAATGCAGGCAAAGAAAAGAACGAAAACGTTTCGACACATTCTTTTTATAATATTAAATATTCATTTTCCTTGCATTGCACGTGACGCTGTCGTTTCGTCTGTTACTTTTTTAAAATGTTCACATTGTTCTATGTCTTAAAATTAGAAATTAAAGTTATGACCTAAAAGTGCAATAGTATACTACAGTACAAGTGAAAAAATTGACAGTTTCAATCACGCGTGTGTCAGATTTGCGCAATACTTATGGGCTTCCACACAATTTTTGTAAATATTATGGGATCCTGGGGGATCGCGAAAAAATCTCAGTGATACAAGGGGGTCGCGATTGAAAATATTTAAGAAACCCTGTGCTAAATGATAAAACAAACGTACATCGTGCGTCATCATCTTTCCGTCACGTTACCTTTCAAGGCTGGAATTTCCAAAAGAAATCTACGCAGTCTAATCAGGCCTAAAGGAGTATACAGCTAAAATTTTGTAAAGACAGCACTTACCGTTTTAATTCTGTGGGTGTGCCCGGAGTGGGCTCCCTGAATAAATAGAATTCGAAAAGAATGTTGAAGTGAACATTGCTGGGAAGCGCGTAATAGAATAAAAGATTTTGCCTACGATTAAAAAACACGAGATTCTGAGTACCGTAGCAGATTTAGCATTACCCAGAGTGTACCATGGGAAGGCCTGCTGCTCTACCCCCCCCCAAATGCTCTTCTTGGTGATATGATGATTACATGCGTATAAGTGAAAAAAAGTAACTTGGGTATATGATATTTACATTATTTACATTTCACATTTACACTCCGTCTCTCTTTTTTCAAGGTGGTACTCTTCAAAGAAAGTGACACCACATTTATAAAAGCACAACCCAACATTGCATGTTTTGCACATGTACCGGGATGCGTAATGGCAGACCGCACATTGAGTTGAACAGTGTTAAGCGAATTTTGCTTACTGCGCATGCTTGATGGTGTGCCTTTTGCGCGGGGAGAAATATTGGCGACTAAGCAACACTACGTTAGCTTATTCGTGATCTCCATCGCTGTCGAGTGTGTTCGAGTGATGTTTAAAACTGCAATGTTGTGGAACTTTGCTTATTAGTTATTTTAACGTCCATGCCAATTGCACTTGCTTATTTTTCATTTTAATTTGTCAATAACAGTGCATTTAATATTTGTTAACATATGTTCGTAATAATTCGTTATTTAAATGTAATTTGTTTACATGTTACAATTCAGTAATTGTAAACTGGAGTATCTCGCTTAGTTTGTTAGCGTATATTCGCGCTTTTATTTTCTCATTTCAAAGAATTTAATAACTAGCATTAAAGAATTGTAAAATTTCTTCAGTGTTATTTGCAAGCACTTGTTATATTCCTCAGTGTTTCTTTATGTATGTACGAATGGAAGGTATGGTAAATCCTGAATTGTTTTTATTGCTTAAAAGTATAATGAATAAATTTTCAACTAATATATCCTAAATTTCAGTATTTTTCTGAACGAAAATTTGTACAGTTCCAAAGGAATGTGCAGAATTTCACAAGTATTATATTTTACATTTTGAATGTAAACACTGCTTCACATTACTTCGCAATAATTTCAGCTTTTTAGTTGTTTGAGCAGTATAGCGAAAAACAGTATTTTAACACAGTAATTAATTTACATTTACATTATACTCTACGAAGATTTAAACGCCAGATTTGTTTACAATTAAATGGCGATACATCTACCATATACCGTATTTATCTTCTTTTCAAATCGCGCCAACATAGTAATTACGCCAAATTGTTTTCTGGGCATGCGCAGTATGCGACATTCGTTTAACACTGTTCAACTCAATGTGCGGTCTGCCATTACGCTACCGGGATCCGTAACAGATTCGCTATCTGAAGGAAATTCGTGTAGCACTTTCAGTACTTCACAAATGGTCGGCCCTCTCCAATCCATTTGCGAAATAATTAAAAATTACAACAAAATGAACTATTACATATATACAATTAGGAAATTTAAAGTATAAAATAAAATTTAATAAACGTCTACAACTCAAAACTATCAAAACGTAGCGCTAACAAAACTTTGAACGAAAGCAAAAGAGAACTGTTCTAGTGAAAAACCAAACAGCTAACTGATAAAATTACCCCTGACCTTCAGAAATTCACTCCAACAATTCTTAGTTGACAACCAAACCTCACTTCCCCTCCCAAAAGGAATAAAAGCAGGAAATGAAGCACATATGTGGACCCACCTTTCTATTGTGACAGAGCCCACCGAAGAGCTGCAGTGAAGCAAAAATACAGTTGTTGGTTTGGTCCTAGTGCCTCAGTGCTCCCACTCTGGCCACACCTGATGTTCGCCGTTCGATTTTAGGCAAGATTTCAAGTTAAAACTTTAAAACTAATGTAGAATAAGGGGCTTAGCATATAGCCAAGAAAATAATATATAAATTTCTTTTCAAACAATTCCTTTTTTATATTAAGAACAAGCTGAAAGATTTCTTTGAAAAATATGTGTCCTTAAAAGCTAAACATGGCTAAAATATATGAACTGGTTTGTTTTGTGCTGCCATCTAGTATAAAGAAAGAGGGTTCAGAGTAAACTATACTAACCTATAAATCCTTTTTCATTCAATTTTTCTGTGTGTACAGAGGGAAATTTTTAGGTGTGCCCAGACCGAGCACACCGTGGCGCAAAGGGCTAAACAAGTAAAAGGGCATTCGAATGAAATTGCATGAAGCGTTAAACTTCTCTTGTGTATCGGTCTTTATGAGGATAATACTACGATTATTGAGCACTTTTGAATTACATCTAAGAATGTTATTATAAAGGATAAAGTATTATACTAGGTAAAATGAAGTTAGTAATAACAGGACCTTTATGAAAGACAGAAAGACAGACACTTAAATCATTAAATAGTAAGAAATGTAAACAAAATTATAATAATAACTTGAGCTCATGTAATGAAACTATTTTGTCTGAGCTCTGACAAAATTCTCACGATTCACTTCTTTTCTCGGCTTTTATCTACAAAAAGCACTGAAAACATCAATTTCTAAAAATAGCTGAAAAATAAAAATTGAAATACTACGCCATAAACGTTATAAAAATACATCTGTAAAATTAGAAATAAGATTAACAAGATGTTACAAAACCTTTTTTAATGAAAAATAAAATATTTTACTTTATTTTTAAAACTGGAAGAAAGAAACTGCAAATACCAGCTAAGTACGAAAATAATTGAAGGCAGCTGACAACAAATGGTCGGCCCTCTCCAATCCATTTGCGAAATAATTAAAAATTACAACAAAATGAACTATTACATATATACAATTAGGAAATTTAAAGTATAAAATAAAATTTAATAAACGTCTACAACTCAAAACTATCAAAACGTAGCGCTAACAAAACTTTGAACGAAAGCAAAAGAGAACTGTTCTAGTGAAAAACCAAACAGCTAACTGATAAAATTACCCCTGACCTTCAGAAATTCACTCCAACAATTCTTAGTTGACAACCAAACCTAACTAAAAGGTCTAAACCTAACTAAAAGGCCTTAACTAAAAGGTCTAAGTCAATTCCAACCAATCTTTGGGTAATGATCGCCATGCCTTCTCAAAGCCGAGAAGTATAAAATATATTAACTATAAAGTCCTGATACGTAGTTGGTGATACAGGAAAATGGGAACAAAACTAACGGATGCTATCCATTGCACCGTTCGCATTCGATATGGTGTAGTTTAGTGGGTTATCAACAGTATGCGTCCCCCAAATAACTATAGGTTACACAAGAACTTCTAGTGATAATTCCTCACGGTACTTTTCTAAAATTGATACATAACAAGTGAGAAGATGTACTTGATATGCTTTCCATACTTACAGAGAAATAAAGACTATAACTGTACATTATAATGGAGTAACTGTCAGAACATTGATTGAGCAATTAAAAAGTTTCAATTCGACTCTCACTAACGACGCAGAGGTGGAAATTTTGGCTCGCCGTGCGGTACTATATATTGGATCTATTTTCTGTAGGTCCAACTGCGTGATGGTTAGCTGTATAATTTAGGTTTATTTCATAAACAAACACTTGCTGCTCTGCAGAAATACATTTGTAGCACAGTGGTTAGAGTGAATGCTCTGCAAAGCAGCAACTGTTTTATGAAGCCTTCCTCCTCTACACAATCTTCTTTAAAGTCGTAAACGATTATTTATCCAAACATAAATTGGTTAAATTCAGGCCATCCGACGTATTCCTAATTTGCCTTTATATACGGGAATGATAAGGAATTAACATATTCGCTTTACTGGCTTTTACAGTGTAACAATGAGCATATCGATCCAGATATTCGATTAGATAGAAATTAAGAGTCTTAGAACATCATGGCGAATTTTACAAAAACTTGTCCCATCACACCCGTCTGGTCTTCCGAAAGTAATTACAACGATGAAGATTTATTTTAAATGAAAGCTTTAAATTTCATATGCGATTCAGGACTTCGTTTTTTCACATCTTAGGTTTTCCGAATTTGGCTGATATTTTATAATCCATTATTGATATAATGAATTTATCTTGCAGCTAATTTTCTGTCTCATTACGTGAGACGATTTGTCTTTCGCTGTACATTATTAGACTTATAATAACTTTTCGAGAATCTAGCAATATCTGGAGACTGATCTGACAGAATATTCTTAGAATTTCATTATAATAAATGTTTGAAAAGTAAGCAACAACGAAAAGACGGACATCTTATGCTAATAAGATTACTCAACATTTGTATAAAATGATGGCTTTGCTTTAGTATGCGCTGTTTG